AGTACTATTCAGCTATATTTTTTAAAAATGTAATCCTGTCACTTGTAGCAACATAGATACAACTGGAGACAATCATGTTAAGGGAAGTAAGCCAGGCAAAGAAAGAAACATACTGCATGATATCTCTCATATGTGGAATGTAAAAAAAAGAAAAAAGTGGGCTGGCCCGGTGGCGCACTGGAGAGTGCACCGCTTGGGAGTGCGGCGGCGCTCCCGCTGAGGGTTCGGATCCCATGTGGAGACTGGTTCCCGCTCACTGGCTGAGCGCAGTGCGGGCGCGACACCGAGGGTTGTGATCCCGTTGCCGGTCCCCGGTACGGGCGCGACACCGAGGGTTGCGATCCCGTTACCGGTCAGTAAAAAAAAAAAAAGACAAAAAAAAAAGAAAAAAGTGATTCTCATAGAAGGAGAGTACAATAATGGTTACCAGAAGCCAGAAAAGGAAGCGAGATGAGCAGGGGAGAAAGGAATTAACAGGTATGAAGTTACAGGTGGATAGGAAGGATAAATTCTGGTGTTCTAAGCTGACCACAGCTAATAGTATTATATTGTATATTTCTAAATATTATATTGTATTATATCATATTATATTGTACTACATTATACTGATTATATTATATTGTATATTTCTAAACAGTCATCTTTGTGGTGATGACTAAATGTAATGCAGTGTCCTGAATAGAATCCTGGGACAGAAAAAGGACATTAGGTAAAAAGCAAGGAAATCTGAATAAACTATGGACTTTAGTTAATAATGTATCGATATTGGTTCATTCATTGTGATAAATGGATTATACAAATGTTAGCAATAGGATAAACTGGGGGGAGAATAGACAGATGGAGGCTGGGAACTCTCCATACTATCTTTGCGACTTTATAAATCTAAAACTATTCTGAAATGAAAAGTTTATTTAAAAAGAAAGAAAACATTAAACATTCACTTGCCTATGACTCTGACATGCCATTCTTAGGTATTTACTCAAGAGAAAAGAAAGCATACAAGGATTTATACATGAATATTCATACCAGCTTTATTTTTAATAGCCCAAAATTGGAAATGTCCAACAGGTGATGGGTAAATAAATTGTGGCATGTCTGCACAATAGATATACTACTCTTCAACAAAAATGAATGAATTATTGATACATGCTACAACACTGATGAATCTGAAAATAAGTATGCTGAGTGAAAGAAGCCAGACGAAAAGGAGCATATATTGTATGATTCCATTCATATAAAACTCTAGAAATATGCAAATCTATAGCGACAAAAAGCAGAACGATGGTTGCCTGGGGATGGGGGAACAGCAGGGAGGAGGAGCAGAAGGGAGGGATTACAAAAAGGGGAGCAAAAGAAAATGTTGGGGTGATGTATTTGCTATCATGATAGGGGTGATGGTTTCATGGATGTATACATGCATCAAAACGTATCCAAATGCACATCTGAAATATGTGCAGTTTATGAAACATCGATCATCCTGACTAAAGCCTTAAAAATTAAAAACTAAGAAAGGAGGCTCTGACTCCCTTCTCGGTGCTCCCTTGGAGCTGTGCCCACTATAGTGGGTACTGAGTGTCGTCTGTTTGCCCCAACCTGCCCATCACAGATCATTTAATTCTCACAGCAACCCTATCAGGTATTACGCTCTCATTTTTTAAGGTTGAAGAATCTGAGTCACCTACCCGTTAAGTAAACTGTGCAAGATCACGCAGCTGACTGCTTGTCTTTAGGAACAGAGCTGGGAGCTTCTACACACCAGTTCACCTAAGTGTAAAGGAGAGCAGGGGGAACTCCCAGTGGCCCACTGAGAGCACACAAGCCCAGAACTAACCAGCACATGGTTAGTTCTAAACTGGGAATCGCAGCCAGGAAAGAATCATGGCGGTGCCAGGGGAGGGAAAGGGACAAGAAATAGAATACATGGCCTTTCCTCAAAGACCTTTCCCCTCACTCCAGTGATTCACTTTCACTCATTTATGCATTCATTCATTCCGTTAGTCAAGTATTTAACAAACGCTGAGGACCACACAGTGCCAGATACTATTGCAGACTTGGGGACATAGTCAAGAATAGGACAGAAAACGTTTCTGCTTTCACGAAGCTCACATGTCCAGATCAGAGATGCAGAAGATAAGCAAATGACATAAAACAGGGTGAAGTGACAGGGAGGCAATTGGATGGGGCCTGTTTTGGTAGAGGTGGTCAGAGAGGCCTCTTTGAAACAGTGTCATTTGGGGAGACCTGAAGGAGGCAAAGGAGCCAGCCACACAAAGATTTGAAGTTGGAAAGAACATTCCAGACAGAAACAAAATGGGTGTGTTTAAGGAAAAGTAGGTCAGGGTGGCGGGAGGACAGGAGCAAGGGGGGACTGGTCAGGCACTGAGGAGGCCAGACTAGGGGGTCTAGTTTTATTCTAACTGTAACAGGAAGTCATTGGATAGTTTTGTCTCTTTAAGGCTTTTTTCTATTTTTGGTTATGCTTACTGATATGTAATTTTGGTTATGGGAAAATTCACCCTTTTTAGTGCAGTTTTACAAGTTTTGACAAACACCTACTATCATATAACCACCAACACAATCAAGATATAGAACATTTTCATCACCCCCCAGATTCTTTTGCACCCTTTTGTAGCCAACTCCTCCTGTCAGGTACTGATCTGTTTTTTTGTCTCTATAGTTTCGTCTTGTCCACACAGTATGTAGCCTTTGAGTCTGTCTTTTTCACTTAGCATAACGTATTCGAGATTCATCGTTATGAATAATGATATAGGAGGGTACTTCAAAACATCTGTGGATTCATATTATCTTTTAATTCTATTTTTCCACAAGCATTTTGAAGTATCCTCATATATATCAGCAGTTTGTTCCTTTTTTATTGCTGAGTGGTATTCCATTGCATGGATGTACCACAATGTGTTCATCCATTCCCAAGTTGGGGGACACTTAGGGGGTTTCCAGATTTGGGTGATTATGAACAAAGCTGCTATAAACATTTGTGTATAGGTTTTTGCATAAACAGAAGTTTTCATTTTTCTTGGGCAAATACCTAGGAGTGGGATTGCTGAGTGTATGTTTAACTTTATAAAAAACTACCAACTGTTTTCCGGACTGGCTATACTATTTACATTCTCACCAGTAATGCAGGAAAGTTCAACTTGCTCACCATCATTTCAAGGCCTTGGCATTGTCAGGGGCTTTAGTTTCTTTGTTTATTGTTTTAGCCATTTTAATAACTTTGTAGTGACATCTCACTGTGGTTTAATATGCATTTCCCTAATAATTTATAATCTTGAACATCTTTTAATTTTCTTGTTATTAGCCATCCATATATCTTCTTTTGTGAAGTATGTTTAAGTTCTTTGTCCATTTTCTAATTGGATTGTTTTTCTTATTAAGTGTTGAAAGTTCTTTACATATTCTGCATACAAGATTTCTTTTATCAGATATCTGTATTGCAAATACCTTCTTCTAAACTGTGCCTTATCTTTTTGTTTTCTTAATAGTGTTGTTAAATAATATTTATGGGAGGCCATTTTTTTGGACTGAGCTCCTGCACTAGGCCCCAACAGACCAGACCAAACCAGAATGGAGCCAGTCATACTAGGTGCCATCAAACTGAACTAAAAAACAGGCCAGTTTTCCAAAAAACAGGAGATCCACAGCAACCAATCATAAGTCAACCTGAGTTGGCACAAGAAGGAAGTCCCCTCTGCTTTAACCCATACAAGGAAAATAGCCTGAAATAACACGATGTTAACCAATCTACTTTTTACACTATGCTGTTTCCTTGTTCCGCTCAAGCTGCCTTACAAAAATCAACTGGACCAGCAACGGGATCGCAACCCTCGGTGCTGCGCCCGCACCTCGCTCAGCCAGTGAGTGGGAACCTGTCTGTATGTGGGATCCGAACCCTCGGCGGGAGCGCCACCGGGCCGGCCCTGAAGAGGGATTGTGCTTTGGTATATCTAAGAAACATAAGCTTCCTTCTGGAAAATCTTTATAGTTTTTCAGGTTTTACCCTTGGGTTTGTGAAGCATTTTAAATTCGTTTTTCTATACAGTGCCAGGTAAGTATGGAAGTTCATTTATTTCCATATGGATTTCCAATTATTCCAAAACCATTTGTTGAATACACAATTCTCTCTCCATTTAAGTGCTCTGTCACCTTTGTTGGACTGGCCACATACGTGTGGCTCTACTTCGGGACCCTCTTTAAGTTCCATGCATGTATGTGTCGATCACTTCGCCAGTACCCCAATGAAGAGGCAAAGGGCGTCCAGCGGCTCCTCCTCCCTATCCCTACCAGGCTCTGCTCATTTCACCTTCCAGCCCTTCTTTCTCGCCTGTTTCTGACCCCGTGGTGGTCCGTCGAGGAGAGCCCCCTGCAGATCCAGGCTAACCCCTGCCACCTGCTAGGAGCAGTCCTCACCTGGGCAGACCCCTCCTGCAATCTGCGGTATGACCACGCCCGCCCGGAACTCCTCACTCCCCAGCCAGAAGAGTCCGCGGTTGCCAAGACAATGGCGGGCGCGCCAGGCTCCGCAGCAATTTCCGGCCTGTCGTGAAGTCCGAGCCGACTGCGCGTGCGCAGAGTACAGGCCGGGCTTCCCCTCTCGGTATTCCCGGCCAGCTCGGGCTTCCGAGCCGCAATCGGAGCCTTAGCGCCTCCGCACGGCAGTCATTTCCGGCAGCTTCGGACGCCGGCTGTGGGGCCAGCCATTGTACACATGCCAGAGAGGGAGCGTGCTGTGCATAGGACCCAGGAGGGAGTCCCGGCTTCATGAGACTCTAGTACATTCTTTTAGAAATGAGGAAATGAGAAGCATTATGTGAACTCAGAACATGTCCACCAGTGCCCAATGCCCTCAGACTTTGGAGAGGCCCAGATCGCCACGCCCGAAGTCCCCGGGGCTCCCCCTGCTGGCCGTCCCTTCTCGTGCGTATGCACGCGCTGTGGCTGCTTCGCTTCCCTCGTTTGGCCCCGACCGCGCGCCGTCCACCGGTTGCCATAGAGACCGGCGAGCGCTGAGCGTGTGGGACGAGCGGAGGTGACTGGGGGCTCCTAGGGACCAGCGCGCCATGTCTTTCCGCGACCTTCGCAGTAAGGGAGCCCCGCCCTTGTGACCCGCCGGGTCTGTCTGAGCTCCCTCTCGGGCCTCGGCGCCTCGGTGGCCGTCCCTGCCCCCGGCCGCAGCCCAGACCGAGCTCCCGGCCCTGTCCAGCTGCACCTTCTGCGATGTGGAAAAGTTCTGTCTCTGTTACTGGCCGCAGGTGGCCACAGAACACCTGCAGTGGGGCTAGTGCGGATGAGGAATTGAATTTTTAATTTCATCTCATTTTAACTCATTCATATTTACATAGCCACGCGGGGCTGTTCCTGCCGCATTGAAAAGTGCATGGAAAATGCAGAGACTGTTTTTGAGTCGGGTTAGCTTAGAGCTTGGAGGAACGAACAACACCGAGGAGGGGGCTGGATGGTGATGGTAACTGCGGCTAAAGTTTTCTGCGTTTTAACGATCTGCCACGTACGAGTCTGTGCGTGCGCATCGATTCATTTAATTCTCTGAACAGCTCTGAGCCCCGTGTATTTAGAGGTGAGGACACGGGCACAGAGAGGTCAGGTAACTCGGACAAGTGACACAGGTGGTATGAGGCGGCACTGGAGCTTGAGTTCGGGTTGTCTGAACTCCAGCGCCTGCATCCTTTCTGCAGGCGCTGGTGAGGACAGGTGAACTCGAATACCTTTGCTAGGAGGGTGGAGAAGTGGAAGAATGGGGATAAGACATTAGTAACTACTCCTTTGGGCGATACCTGTTATACACCAGGCTTTTTACATTCAGTATCTTGTTTTAGTCCTCACTTTAACAGTGAGCTAGGTGGTGTAATTCGTGGATGAAATACTTTGAGGCACAGAGAGGTAAAGTAACTTGCTTAAGGTGACCCAGCTAGAACTGAGTGGAACCAGGGAGTAAGACATAGGACTGTGTGACTCAAAATCACTTGCCTTTTTATACGCTGTCATTTTCTGAATCTGAAGCAGTTCAGCTAACTGGCTCCACCTGAATAAGTGTAGCAGTTTGGTGTTGTCTGAGGGGCCTTTTAAGGCCGATCTTCTCACTAAATTGCTGGTGCCTGAAATTTCAGCATTAGAGATTACTCCTTTTCGTTATGAATTGCTGTTTTTCTACAGGGTAAATATCCAGGAAATCACATCACATTTTATTGATGCAGCTACTAGCACTGTAATATGAACCACATCCTCTGGGATTTGAAGGTTCTTAGTGATTGTACATGGTACCAGACAGGTGTCTCCTCCCACTGGTCTTTAGAGAGGCCAGCACTCTGCTGTAGACATTCAATGAAGTTGTGTTGAGAAGAACGTATGAGAAAGGGATTTCAGAATATTTTGACCTTAAATGAATCCTGTACAATGTTTGGTAAGAATCTGACTCGAATTAGTGTCCATTTTGACAGTAATACTGCAGAATTAACAGAACTTGACTGCTACTACATACAGGTATTTAGGCAATGCCTGACTGTGATGGGAAGACTGCTGCCTTATTTTCTATCACTCTTCAAATTTTCCAAAAAACGGTGACAGAATCCCTTCATGATTTTGTTCTTTCCTGTGCTCATACTTTCTTTTCCATTGTCTGGTCAAATCCGATCTAACTTCGAGTGCCCACGTAGGTTATTTATGAATGTCGAGGGGACATATTGAACATCCAGCTTCAAGAAGAGAGGACAGACATTAGTAGGTAGGAAGCACACTGAATCTTGGCATATCACGGGAACTCAGGAAATGTTTGTTGTATTCATTCCAAAGACCTGCTTTCTTGAAGTTTTCCTGAAATAACCACAACCCATGGTATCAAGTCTTAGTATTGCTGCTTCTTAATCAGCTTTATAAAAAATCTAAATATTGCTCTATATTCAACCACTCTAAGATTTCTCTAAATACAAAGCAACTAATCTTTAAAATTTGTGTTATTCTGTAAGGCCAGGTATTTCTTATTTTGAGTAGTAAAGAGAAATATATCAAAGAGAGAAATGAGATGTCAAAGAGAGAAATTAAAGTCACAGCTAATCCCTAAACTCCATTTTTGTGTATAGCATCTACTTTTCCCATTGAACTTAAATAGATGTTTTTCAGGTAGTAGATTAGGTATTTTAAATTTTATCTCCTTTTTTCTTTTACCTCCCCTCCCTTAGAGAGTTGATAAATAGTTCCTAAAATTGTCAGTAGGTTGGGAATAAGAAGGGAAAGCAAACAATATCCAAGTTAATAAGTAGTTGCTTTTTGATGAAGAACTGACTGAATTGTATTTTACCTTGGACAGATTTCACAGAGATGATGAGAGCCCTGGGGTACCCTCGACATATTTCTATGGAAAATTTCCGCGCACCCAATTTTGGACTTGTATCTGAAGTGCTTCTCTGGCTTGTGAAAAGGTTAGAACTGCACTTTATTGAAGACTAAGAATGAATACGAGATTTTATTCATTAGCCTCCTGGAAACAGGATACTGTTGTGACATGAAAGGAAGAGTTCAGGGACCTCCCTGCACACTGTAATGAGTACACTGGCTTAGAAATAATTTACATTTCTCTTGTGAAAAATCTAATATGATTCAGAGTTGGCAACGTTTTCTGTTAAGCGCTGGACAGTAAATATTTTCCATGTTGCTGCATATAAAACTCAGGCTATATAAAATCTCTGTCACATATTCTTCTTTGTTCTTAAAATGTAAAAACCATTCTTAACTTGCAGGCTGTACAAAAACAGGTCAAGGGCTATAGTCTGCTGACCCTGGTGAATTATCGATAACTCAAAGAAAGTAACTTCAAGTCTGCTTCTTCTCAAAGCTCTATAATTAGCCCAAGCGTTTGTCTCTGGGCCTAGGGCCAACGTAACAGTTCTTATTATTTTCATGAAACTTTGCGGTCTGAGATAGGCTTAATTTTGTAAGCTGAGCCCCTCTTTTGATTTTTGAAATCAGTTAAACCTGTTCTTACATGGGGTATTTTGTGTTGCTTTTGAAGTTTTTCTTAATCTCACTGCCTTAGCTGGGGACTTGGAAAGCCTCGTATTATAGATCCACTGTCCTCTCAGTTGCTCACTTGCTCTTTAGTGGACTTTCTACTTGATTAACTTGTGTTCATTCTCTCTCTCTCTCTCTTTGGTAGGTATGAACCTCATACTGACATCCCTTCTGATGTTGAGACTGAACAGGACCGAGTTTTCTTCATTAAGGCAATTGCCCAGTTTATGGTTAGTTGACAGTTACTTTGTGGAGTTGTAAAATTAAATATATTAGAAAGGGATGAATCCAAGTTGGGGCTGCTTTCAAATTGAGTAATTGAGTTTACTCTCTCAAATCATTCCATTGCCAGGTCTCTGTGGAGCCATTTCACCAGCAAAGGGTTTTGTTTATTTATTTATTTTATTTTTTATTTTTTTCCTTTTTGTCTTTTTTTGTGACCGGCAACGGATCGCAACCCTCAGTGTCGCGCCCGTACCGGACCAGGACTGGCAACGGGATCGCAACCCTCGGTGTTGCTCCCGCACCTTGCTCAGCCAGTGAGCGGCTGGTCTGTATGTGGGATCCGAACCCTCGGCAGGAGCGCCGCCGCGCTCCCAAGCGGCGCACTGTAGAAGTGCGCCACCGGGCCGGCCCTGTTTATTTGTTTTTAATTCATTATTATTTAAAATTTTTGTTTATTTTTGAATAGGTAATATATCTGATGGTTCAAAAATTTTTTAAATTATGAAATGATATAGAGTAAAATGACTCTACCCTGTCTGCCATTGGCCCAGTTTCAATCCCAGTAACAACTATTTTAAATTTCTTCCAGAATTTCTTTATGCATAATAAGCAAATAAGAATACATATTCTTTTTCCTTCCTTTTACATAGTGGTAGTATTCTATACACCACTGTTTAACCTCTTCTTTTCTTCACTTAATGTTGTATTTTGGAGAACTTTACAAATACGTGTACATACAGAATTTTCTCATTCTCTCTTTTTTTTTTTTTCCCCTTTTTGTCTTTTTTTACTGACCAGTAACGGGATCGCAACCCCTGGTGTCGCGCCTGTACCCGGGACTGGCAATGGGATCGCAACCCTCGGTGTTGCGCCCACACCGCGCTCAGCCAGTGAGCGGGAACCAGTCTCCACATGGGATCCGAACCCTCAGCGGGAGCGCTGCTGCGCTCCCAAGCGGCGCACTCTCCAGTGCACCACTGGGCTGGCCCTCATTCTCTCTTTTACCTGAGTAGTATTGCTTGAATGGATATACCATAAATTATGTAAATCATTTAGGTTGTTCCAACTTTTGCTTTTTGAGATAATGCTGTGACAAATAGCCTATACGTATAATTTTGCTTGTATGTGAGTATATCCCCAGAATAAGTTCTTAAGATTGGAATTGCTAGATCAAAAGATAGTGCATTTATATTTTGATGTCTTTTACCAAATTTCTGTCCATCAAGATTGTATCTATTTACACACCCCACTCACAATGTATAAATGACTTGAGTGCTTTACTCTTAATGCTATTAGGTTATATCCCAGTTGTCAGCAGAGATCTCTTCAAATTACCTACATGGGATTTGGTTTAGACATTACGTGGATAGAGCCTTATACTTTTTTTCTTGGTCTAAAAATAGGCCACAAAGGCACATATCAAACTCAATACTAAGAAGCTTTATCAGGCAGATGGATATGCAGTGAAAGAACTGTTGAAGATCACGTCTGTCCTGTATAATGCTATGAAGACCAAAGGGATGGAGGACTCTAAAATAGGAGAAGAAGATATCAGCAAGTTCAAGTTTGATCTTGGCTCAAAGGTAAGGACAGTGAAAAGCCCGTAGTGAGGGACGGAATGTTTATTTCTCAAACTCTGAGCTGGAATATGTCTGATCCCCGCGGCACTGCTTCTTTCCTTGCTCCATGACTGAGAGCAGTTTGTCAGTTTTGTGCTCATCAGCGTTTGGATAAAAGTATAGTCACAATAAATTAATTCAACTATTTATTGAAAACCTAGTATTTGCCAGGTAGTGTTCAGGCGCTGAAGATACAGGTATGAACAGAAAGCACAAAACTCCTGTGTCCCCGTTGCTTAGTTGGGGCAGTCAGACTATGAACAGCAAAGTAGAAAGTGTGGAAGGTCAGATGCAATAAATGCTGTGGAGCATAAGAAAGCAGGGGTGGGGACAGAGAGTGCTGGGGTGTCTTAAGTAGGGTGATCAGGGAGGCCCCACAGGTTGGATGATGTTGTCAGCAGAGATCTGATTAGAGAAGGAGCAAGCTAGTCAGGTGGGGGAAGAATGTCCCTGATGAACATGTGCTTTGTGAGGAGAGCCAAGAGGAGGGGCAGTGCCAGACCCTCTGGCAAGCCTTTGACTTTGAGGTGGAAAGTCGTGTTCTGAGCAGAGACGTACATGCTTTGAATTGCCTGTCAAAAGGATCACTCTGGCTGCTGGGTCGCCATCAGACTGGAGGGGGAGGCAGGGACAGAAGCAGCGAGACCAGTTAGGAAGCAAGGGATGACAGCGACCTTGAACGAAGTGGTTGTGGGAGAGGTGGATGTCAGGAGCTCAGCTGAGCTGGCGAGAGAGCTGAGCTGTCAGGTGTTGGAGCAGCCAAGAAATGCAACACACCAAAAAGGAAAGTTAGGCCTTTAACTACTTGTTGTGATGGTACAAGCAAGACTCTGAGCCTGGAGGAAGCTCCGACTCTCCCTGTTCTGTTTTCCCCATGGACAGGCGCACCTGCCAGGTTGAAGGCCAGGTGCCTTTGTGCAGATGTGGGGTGGTCTTAGTGTTGAGGGAGCCCCCAACAGAAGGCACCTGCAGTTTTATTGACCCTGAGGTGGGGGGAATAGTGAGGAAGTAGGGCTAGGAGATGCAAGTACTGGGTGCTGAGTCAGTGGGGAAGGTGTCTTCCAGGATTCCCCCTCCTCCCACCATGAGGAGGTCTCAGCAGAGGTACCTTAAGAGGACCTCGGCCCAATCCTCAGGTAAACAGACCTAGGAATGAAGACACCAAAGTTAGAAATGTGAGTAAGAGCACGGCCAGCCAGAGGGGCCTGGGACCTTGACTGCAGCTTCCTTCAGAGACCACAGTGCATTGCCTGTGCCTAAGTCTAGTGCAGGGAGGGCAGCTCCCCTAATGAGGCCTGCCAGGTGATTAACTACGTTAGGGCCTGAAAAATCACATGTAGGTTTTTAACCAGTGGAGAGAAGTGGCAAGAGTTTAGGACATATTTTAAAGGTAGATCTTATGGGATTGGATGTGGGCTGAGAGTCAATGAAACGGTGCAAGATCCTGAAGCAGCGCCCTGCAGTCAAACTTGCTGTGCTGATGGACATGTTCTGCCTCCATGCCACACTCTGCAAGAGCCACCAGCCCCATGCAGCTAGCACACCGAGGAGCTGAGTTTCTAAATTTTATTTAATTTTTAAATAAGTTAAATGTGAAAATGGCCACATATGGCTAGTGGTTACTCTGTTTGACATTGCAGGTCTAACGTTTTGGTCTGAGCACCTGGAAGGATGAAGTTGCTATTTACTGAAGTGGAGAAGAGTCTGGAAGGGTGTAGGTTTGGTGGGGAAGTTTAGGAGATTGGTTCTGGTGCCTGTGACATTTGTGGTACCTGTTCGATGTCCAAGTGCAGATGTTGAGCAGGTAGTTGGCGTGCAAGGCTGGAGCTGGGGGCCTGGGAGGCACTGGCACATAGGTGGTGGTAGAGCCGTGAGGTTAGGAGGAGTGCCGATAGAAACGAGGAGAGATCCAGGGATGGAACTCTGGCATACTCCACTGTTGAGAAGTGGGGAAGGCAAGGAGAATCCTGCAAAGAAAAATGGGGATTTGCTACTGGCAAGGTAGGAAAGCAGCTGGAGCAGGAGGGAGCTGTGTCCTGGGGATGAGGAGGAGAAGCTAGAGCCAGAGGGAGCTGTGTCCTGGCGGACTGGGGAAATGGGAAGAAAGTCATCAGCTGTAAATGAAGAGGGAGAGTTGTTGCTGGTGGGCTGAGAATAAAAGAGAAGGTGAGAACTAGTAGTTAGGAGAGATGGAAAGTGAGGAGCAGGGAGATGCTTGCATTTGGGCTCTTTGGAAAAGTCAGCATATTCAAGGAAAAGGGGTGGCCAGCACATCCTGAGAAGCCTGTGCAGAGGCTCAGGAATGCTAACTCAGCATCATGGTCATCGCCCAGAACTGGTGTACGTTCCTAGCAGATGTCACCTCATTGAAGCCTCACAACAACTCTGTGGAGGGAAGTCTAAGGCAGAGAACAAGGGGATGGGGAAGGTTGCCCCTTCCTTTGGTTACCTCACTACTATCGGTGTCCCTACCATGACCTAGTTCGAAGAGGAAGCATGTCAGCTTTCTCCCGCCTATACCTCTTGGTTATGGGTTCAATTTGACTTGTCGCTTGGTTCTTTGGAGAGACCCAGGTGTCCTGGAATTGGTTCCATTTGTACTTAGATGAATGTTTCCTAAACGGGTGTCCTGAGGGGGTTCTCTTCTGCAGCATGCCAGTGTGTGGCCAGTGAATAACATGTTCTGTGGTCAAGTATCCCGACCAAATGTAGGAGTTGACATTAATAGACTGCTTATTAAATGCCTGTTAAAAATCTGTCATTGAGGTCTGTGTGTTTGATATTTTCCTTCCAGATTGCGGATTTGAAAGCAGCCAGGCAGCTTGCTTCTGAAATCACCTCCAAAGGAGCATCTCTGTATGACTTGCTGGGCAAAGAGGTAGAATTAAGGGTAAGTGGCATTCGGATAGAGTAATTACTTCCTTAGCTAAGCACACCATTTCTCTTCAAGGTTTTCTTTTTCAGTTCTGTTTTTCCTTTTCAGGTCTTCCAGTTTTATTTAACTGTATCTGATTTTTTTTTTTTTTAAAGATGACCGGTAAGAGGATCTTAACCCTTGACTTGGTGTTGTCAGCACCACGCTCAGCCAGTGAGCTAACCAGCCATCCCTATATGGGATCCGAACCCGTGGCCTTGGTGTTATCAGCACCACACTCTCCCGAGTGAGCCCCAGGCCGGCCAAACTGTATCTGATTAAATGAGAGAATTTGTGGGCAAGTGACATAGAACAGCCACTCTTCCTGCTTCTAGTGGGCACTGGCTCACTGGTTGCATTGCCTTTAGCTTCTCGTTCAGGAAGGCATAAAAGTGGCATGTGTCTGAAGGTGTCCTCTGTGTGACTGTGGCAGACTGTGATCATGATGCTTTTTCCTGGTGAGCTCACCTCAGTGTACTCAACAAATGCTCCTCTGAGCCTGTGGTTCCCAGCCTAGTGGAATCACCCAGGGATCTTTAAAAGCTCCTGAAGCTGTCTTTCATTTGGATGTTGTTAGTATGGAATGTGACATGGGCATTGGGAGTTTGAAAAGTCTCCCAGGTGATTCTCACATACAGCAAAATTTGGGAGCAGTGATTTGGGCAATCGCTGACAATCTGTTGAAGTTGATGTTAAGTTGAAACTTATTTGCAGTCCTTATTCCAGCCATTGCCAGTCAAGCAGTATGCACCATCCACTACAGTTAAGCAGCTGTTTAAGAGTGTGGTTTCTAAACTTTGCTGAATGTTAGACTTACCTGATGTCCAAGTTGTCCTCCATACCAATGAATCTGAACGTCTGGAGCTGAGAACCAGGCATCAAGTTTTTAAAAGTCTCCAGGTGATTCCAATGTGCGGCAGAGCTTGGGAACCACTAGTTTAAGAAGTGGATGTGGGAATATGAGAACTTTCTGCAGTTTCTGCTCAATTCCTCTATAAACCTAAAACTGCTGTAAAAAATAATGTATTACTTGGGGGGGAAAAGAAGAAATGGAGTAGTGTTTAATCCTTACCTGCAGGATTTACGGCATTTGAAGCATTTGTGCTCAATCTAATGTTTTTATTTTTATTTTTATTTTTTAAAATTTTATTATTATTTTTTTTTGACCGGTAAGGGGATCACAACCCTTGGCACGGTGTGGTCTGCACCAGGCTCAGCCAGTGAGTGCACTGGCCATCCCTGTATAGGATCCGAACCCGAGGTATCGGTGCTCCCAGCACTGCACTCTCACGAGTGAGCCATGGGGCCAGCCCAATCTAATGTTTTTAAATTAAACTAATTTTTTTCATTCACTTCTTATTGGGAATGTCAACCATGACCACTCTCTCACTGCCTTGCCTGTGTTCTGGCAGTGCTGCTACAGTGTAATGGTCTTTTTCTTCCTGCTTTTTGTTTCTTCCTTGGGAGCAAATTGGAGGTGGAGATCTGAGGAAGAGGGCTTGGGTGCCAGGTCACCACCACGGTACAGCTGCTACCCAGGGGAGATTTATACGCTGATATTCAACTGCATGGGGGTCGGTGCCCCTAACCACCATGTTTCCAAGGGTCAAGTGTACTTGTTTTTTACACACTCAGTAAACATTTATTGAGGGCTGACACCAACCACAGTCAAGGCCTCAAGCTCTACCTCCTTGAGTAAGTCCTGATCCTTGCCTCAATAGTTTCCCACCAGTGGGGGAGGTAAGGCGCACCATGGAATAAAGGGAGTGTAAGATGGAGTTTGATAAAGTCCTCCAGGAATTTTGTCTTAGTTCGTGTGGGCTGCTGTAACAAAACACTATAAACTGTGTGGCTTGTAAACAACAGGAATTTATTTCTCACAGTTTGGAAACTGGAAAGTCCTAGTCAAAATTGCCAGCAGAGGGCCAGCCCGTGGCTCACTCGGTAGAGTGTGGTGCTGATAACACTAAGGCCATGGGTTCGGATCCCATATAGAGATGGTCAGTTTGCTTTACTGGGTGAGCGTGGTGCTGACAACACCAAGTCAAGGGTTAAGATCCCCTTACCGGTCATCTTTAGGAAAAAAAAAAAAATTGCCAGCAGATTCGGTGTCTAGTGAGATCTCTACTGATAGATGGCACTTTCTCGCTGTCTTCATATGGCAGAGGAGTGAGGGAGTGCTCCAGGATTTCTTTTATAAGGTCATTAATCCCATTCATGAGGACACCACTCTCATGACCTAATCATCTGCAAAAGGCCTCATCTCCTAATACCATCACATTTCCTAGTACACGAGTATGAATTGGGAGGACACACAGTCTATAGCATACCTCGTAACTGCATCCACATTAAAATCCCATGTCTCAGAAATTTCCAGTACTGATAATAATAGTCACAAATACCCCTCTGGATTGGTTAATGCTAGGGGGCGGGGCAAAGCTCACTGGTTGCATTTGTTAGTGATAGGAACCTTGAAGTACTTAATCATAAGAAAGATTGTAGAGGCTGGCAGGGAATTCAGACAGCAAGTTGTGCTGTGTTTCATTTGGGGGTCACCTGAACGGAATGCAGGTAAAGAAGCAAATTTGGGAGAACAGGCAACAGATGCTAGGTTTAGTTTTGCCCGTGGAGTTGAGAATACTTGGGGCTTCCAGCTAAAAAGGAGGACCTTGAACTCTGGAGAGAGGCCAGGCAGGCAATCGGATTATAGAAGACATTTGTAGGAGGGGATGGTGGAAGTGTTTTTGCATCAGAGATCCACAGTGTAATGAAGCTTTTCAGAATCACTCCATAAGCCATATCTAGATCTAGGAATATTGGTTTTCATAACTCCTTTTCTGAAAATATATGTAAATGACTTTACTGTTTCCCCCAGGAACTGAGAACAGAAGCCATTGCCAGACCTCTGGAAATAAACGAGACTGAAAAAGTGATGAGAATTGCAATAAAAGAGATTTTGGTAAGATTACTTTGCTTTCATTTAATGTGTTTATACCTGGGACTCAGAAATACCGATCTCCTCCCTGCACAAGGCAGAACAAGCTAGGCCTAATAACAGGGATGTGTTAGTAGGAAATGAATAATTTAGAGGATGTCCTAGAATACCTAGGTTACTTATCACTATTATTTTTCCCCTCATAAATAAGAACAATTTCTCATTTTATTAAAAAGTCATCAGCTTTAGTAATTTAATAATTATTTTTTATTCTTTAATAATTTTAGTAAGTAATGCTATATTTTATTTTATTTAACCAATTCCTCCCTGCTGGTCATTTAAATGATTTCTGGGCTTTCTTAATTCCAAATAGCACTGTAATACGTAGAATGACCACCATCCTTATTACTCACCCACCGTCTATTATTATTTGCTCCTCTCATCTAAAGCATTCAGTTGGGAGGCAGATAATGAGGGGGACTCTAGGCTCAGGCTGCTTGGGTTTGAACCCCACAGTGTGATCTTAGGCAAGTTACTTAACCTCTCTGTGCCTCACTTCATGTGTAAAATGGGGAGAGTGACAGTGCCAGCTGCACTGGGGCCCTTATGAGCATTAGTTACGACAGTGCATGTCGAGCCTCATCTCTGGTTCACAATAAGTGTTTAGTCGTCATTAGAGACTTATTTTATTCAGTAGACACAGACAGGGGAGTCTTATATAAATTAGGAGTAGGCATAAAACAAAAATTTGCTGTGAGTTATACAAAATTCTAAGAATCATAGGTTGTTTTTAAATAATCCCCTTTTTATTAAACAGTAATACTCCCCGGGCAGCTCAGCACAGGAGTCAGAGTCTCACAGGGTGGGAAGGGTGTGGCAGCGTGGATGGGAGGTTGGTTATGTGCAGGCAGATTGATCAGATGAGTAAACATGTTAAGGATAACAGAGCCAAGTTCCTCACTGTTGAGAAAGAGAGTTATTGATATGGAAAGAGAAAATTAGAATCAACCCTGAAATTAGAGCTGTTGGTTAAATGCATGATTTTTAATATATATAGATAGATAAATATAGGAATAAATGTTGATATACATTTATGTATGTGTAGGGAATGTATGTATATATGTATGAAAATATGTCGTACATCTGTATGCATGCACACAAACACATCCACACTCATGCATTTCTTAGCTCTGAGCACACCTAGCACCTGGATCTGGGCTTATAAATGCCATTTTCCACTAAAAGGAACCGGGGCTTTTAGGGACAATTGGCTGATTCCAGAGCTGGGGTAGAAGTACAAGATCTTGTGCCAGAAAGTAAGGAAGTGCCCAAAAGATGAAAGGGATCTGTCGAAAGGACACAGAAGTCAACTTGAGTGGGCTTCCCCTGCCAAACCAGGGGCAATCTAAGCATTAACATAAATACATTATAGTAATTTATTTTATAGTATAGTTGAATGAAATAGGAAACTGAGTTCTCACTGACGTGAAAAATAAATGTATATATTGGATATTGGAAGTTGATTAGAAACAGGTTATTCATATAGTTTCAAAGTAGCTTCCCCCCAAATACTTACTAATTACAAAGAGGAAAAGAGTAACTTCATGTGGAGAAGCCTGGCAGTCCCTATAATCAAGGGATCAAGGTGACCGTCGCTGTAATGGAGCAAGTGAAAACAATGCACGCCTGATAGGATGCAGTCACTCTGTGATGTTCCTCACCAAGGCACACAATTGTTGATTCTAATCAGACAAAGCCAAGTTGAGGGGCATGCTATTAATTAACCGGCCTATACTCTTTGAAAGTGAGAAGGCCGTGAAAGTTAGGGAAAGCAGAGCAGCATTCCAGACTGAAGGCCACGCATGGCTCCTGTCTGCTGTTGAGGACTCCACTGAGACAGGCAGGGAGACGGGAATGGGTCTGAGGAGGAGATGGTGGAGGCGCACCAGTGCTAATTTCCTGTTTGACAATCATATTGTGGTCTTGCAGGAGAAAGTCCTTATTCGTAGGATGTACACACCGAAGTATTCAGGGCGATAGGACATATGGTCAGCAACTTACTCTCATGTAGGTCTGGAAAAAATGCTTTGTATTATACTCCAGCTTTTCTGTAAATTTGCGATTGTTTCTAAACTTAGAAATTAAAAAAATGCTTGTACTCTTATGCTTGCCAGCGTTCTGACTGAATCAAGTGAACATGGCATGAACATTCCTGTAGCACAAATATATTAAAAATAGGACACCCAGAAGAGGGCACAGCTAATTTCTTTGTGGACAGCTCTTATGATATCTTTTTACTGTGAGAAAAAATCTATGATGTTTGATAATTCTAAAAACCAGAACAACAACATGGACATGTAAAAGGAGTTATGAAGTATAGGTCATTTATTTCAGAAAACCAGGGGAAATTGTGTTTACACATCAATCTTTCTTAGTTTACTTTAAAAAATAGTTTTTAATATCAGGTAAATTCACTAAGTTTTAATTTAACTTTGATTCAAAGAAATAGTCACCATCACCTGCAGTTGTTCAGAGAGGAGAGCCACCTTTCCTCCTGTGAGAGTGAACTCAGTGTTTCTACCAGTGTCTTTGAAGCACCTGCAGCAGGTGGATGGCTAGTGATGCGATTATTCTAACGTAGGCATCTTAGAAGTGGTTAGTGTGCTTAGACCAAAAGAAATTAAACCATGAATGTATCATCAATAACAGTGGTTGCTTCCAAATAACACACTGTCTCTGAGAATTATGGAAAGTATCTGGGCTTCTTAGGTCATTTCTTTGCAGACTCCATAGCTTTTCAGAGACCTGCAGGTAAACAGTCGGTAAACCTTTAGGGGATTCCATGCGTATGCACAGTACTGAAGGGGAAGGCCTGTCTCGGCCATCAGGAACTTAAAGCAGGGTTGGAAAGCCAGAGCTTGGGGGCATTCCCCCCTCAGCTGGGCTGAGTCCAGATTCCTAATGCAACAGAGTGGAACTCTGAACCCCTGGGTCAGCTTCCTCAACCACACGAATGTGAAGACGGGGTGCTTTACTCTGACTGTGCCTGCTTCACATGGACTTTCTTTTACAAGGGGATAGGGAGGTCTGCAGTTATCACCAGTGGTCTCTCATCCCCTTTCCTGCCCAGACTCCCTTCCAGAGGCTGGTGCCACTGCGGGAGCTGCTTTTGCGCTGACTTCACAAAGTGGTTTCCCAGTTTATTTTTAGTCTATAGTTGACCTTCTGTTGCTGGGAGAGGGAAGAGGACCTTCTCTGTCAATCCCAGCAGGCAGTGGGTTATGGCCGAGACCAGCTCAGGTTTCTTTTTGTCCCTTCCTGAGTACAGCTGTTGCTTTGCCTCACACAGGGTGACAGAGATGCAAAAAGGATTACTCAAAGCCCATTTCTTCCAAGCAGTGAGATACCCTGAAGGGGTTAATTTCCTGGAACCCTCAAGAGAGAGGCATTCCTCCTTTGGGAGTGATAGAGATGCAAAAAGGATTACTCAAAGCCCATTTCTTCCAAGCAGTGAGATACCCTGAAGGGGTTAATTTCCTGGAACCCTCAAGAGAGAGGCATTCCTCCTTTGGGAAATTAACCCTGAACTGGGGTTCTGTCTTAGTATTTTTTCTACAGGCCAGAAAGTTACAGAGAAGGAACAGGTGGAGTTATGGCTAAGTATAGTTTAACAACAGAAGCTGGTAGCATCAGTGAAATAACAAAGTGACGTTCCATAATGCAGTTTGCAAAAAGTTAAGTTGATCCATCAACAAAAGCTTGTTCTTAGCAAACATTTTCTTTCCCTATAGCAATTTTCTTAGTATGTTTATACAACAATAAAGCAACTTAACATATCAGTCAGTAGGTTTACCTGCTCCAAGGGCATCTGTCCTTGAGCCAGCAACTTTGCTGTGTTATAATTCTATATCTACAACAGAGACTTTAGCCTGGAGAAAGTTTCTTGTCTTTTGCCAACTTAACATTTCTATATGTAATTTTTTTTTTTTTTTTGTCCTTTTTGAGACTGGCTGTACCGCGCTCAGCCAGTGAGCGCTGTGAGCGCACCGGTCATCCCTATATAGGATCCGAACCCGCGGCGGGAGCGCTGCTGCGCTCCCAGCGCTGCACTCTCCCGAGTGCGCCACAGGCTCGGCCCTCTATATGTAATTTTAAAAAGTTATCTATACCTGAAACTACAGGGCTTTGGAAACTAGGCCCTATGAAATACATTTTCTTTATAAATGTTAGTATACTCCACATACAGCCATACTTGTGTGTGCACGTATCCCAAAAGTCAGGTATTTGTAACTAGGGCGTAGCCTGAGTGATGTACAGGCAGACTAACAGTCCACAGTGATATACACCAGTTCTCAGCAGGTGAGCCAGACAGAAGATCTCGGGCTTCTGTCCGTCTTGATCAGGAGCTTTTCTTACCGTTTTCATTTGTTTCCCTGGCAAAAACACCTGCTTTTCTCAGGGAAAAAAATGATAATTTTTTCTGGACGTATGTGACATTCCACCTGGAAATAGTTAAATGAATCATTACTTAGGGAGAGTGTTTGCTTTATTAGTTTGCTTTTGTGTTCTGTTTAGTATGACGTTGCTATGCCTGAAGAGTGGGAACAGTCCTCTTCAAAGAGGATGGTGGTCCTTACTGGCACAGTGTCTCATTATTTCCTGTTAAATGTAGGTGCAGGTTCAGAAGACTAAAGACCTGCTCAATAATGTGGCCTCTGATGAAGCTAATTTAGAAGCCAAAATTGAAAAGAGAAAACTAGAACTGGAAAGAAATCGGAAGCGACTACAGACTCTACAGAGTGTCAGGTAGATATGAACACCTGAAGAACGAGTAGAAAGATGTCTTTGGAAGTTAGAACCAAGACTGAGAACATGATGTGATATTACCTCTTTCTTAGCAGTGAAAAAAGCCTCATATAGGTGTATCTCTACTTCAGAATGTATATGTGTCGCCTGTCGTGACAAGCAGACAGCAAACTCATTCTCTTTATTGCTTTCAGTATGTCTGGAAAGCTGCTTAATTCTCACATGGCCCTTTCAGCCTTTATAGCTTCTTGGAATGCAGAGCACAGTAAGTAAATCCAGATGGCGAATGCTGCATGAGGCTTGGTCTCCTAAGATCGTGCCATAAACTAGGTGGAAAAAGAGGCATACTCCCAGCTCTTGGTTTGAGTAGATTCTAGATTTCCTAGACTTTGATAATTCCTCACCAGTCAGTAACTCATTTTTCTTCTGACTTGACCTCATTACAAATACATTTCCAGGGAATAGGGATGAATAATAGTGGCACAGAACACCTTCTAGATCAACGGAGCCTTTTCAGTGTGGTCCTCACATTTTCCTGGAGCTCCTCTCTCTCTCTTCTCTCCTCATTTGGGACCCTCCTTCTCTTGCTGAATCTTTCTCCCTTTTCATTCTCCCTTTATTTTTCTTTCTCTCTTGACTTCTTCCTCTTCCCAGCTACTTGCATCTGCTCTGCATGTGTTCTGCCTTTTTGAGGTACTGGTTGCTGGCCTGTCTCTGGCGACTATCCTGAGATCTGTGGAAAGGCAGCACCTGGAGGCAGCAGACAGTGGCCGCCAGGAGCAGCAGAGGCTTCCTCCCAAGCAGGGGCAAAGCCACGCTCTTTCATCTTCCGAAATCAGTGCCACCAGATAGATTTATCTCATTAACAAATTCTGCCTTTACTGCATAGATTCATTTTTGTTAAGCCTCAAGTCCTTTTAATAGAAAAGTTTCTTTGTTCTGCTCTAGTACAAAAGATTATAAATTATTTTTTAGTTTATCTGTTTATATTTTTCAAAGAACAGACTTTTCCCTTTAAGACCAATAATAAGAGAAAAAAGAAAATGAACTTCAGCAAACCAGTTGAAACAGGTTTTTAGGCATGGTTTTGTTTTTTAATTTTGTATTATTTAAAAACAGCTTTAATTTGTAGCAACCTGTGTTTTCCTTTTTAGAGGACTCATTAAATTTTGGAACATCCAGAGGATAAAACATTATACCCAACTAAGACAATAATGTGTATATTTAATTTATTGATTTTGAGAGATGTGTATGACATATGAGTATTTTTTAATTCTTTATTGAAATCTGTGGTGTATTGCAGTAAAAAAAGAATGCAAAACTTCATTTATGGTAATATATTTAGTTTTTGTTAAAAAATGCATTCATACCTGCATAGAAAAGTCTGGAAGGATGTAAGTTAAATATTAAGTACTTATACCTAGTGATGGGATTATGAGTAATTTTTATATCATCCTTTATATTTTCAGGATTATTTCAAGTTTTTACAAAGAGCACATCCTATTTATGATTTAAAAAGAAGTGTGGGGCCGGCCTGGTGGCGCACTCGGTTGAGTGCGGCGCTTGGGAGCGTGGTGGTGCTCCCGCCGAGGGTTCGGATCCCATATAGAGACCGGTCTGCTCACTGGTTGAGCGTGGTGCGGGTGTGACACTGAGGGTTGTGATTCTGTTGCCGGTTGCGGTACAGGCGTGACACTGAGGGTTGCGATCCCATTACCGGTCACGAAAAAAGACAAAAAGGAAAAAAAAAAAAGAAGTGTGTTTATTTTGGAGGGTGGGGAGGAAAAAGGGGAAATTAGTTTTAAGCAGTTACTAGAGTGAAGGTCCTTCTCTAATTTAAAGTTTCCAAAGAAAGCCACGATGGAGTCTGGAGCTCTGAATACCAATTTCAAACTACTGTACATTGATTAGCTTTTCACTTTTTATTTCATTTACTTATCCCAGGCCAGCCTTTATGGATGAGTATGAGAAGATTGAGGAAGAGTTGCAAAAGCAGTATGACATTTACCTAGAGAAATTTCGAAATTTGACTTACCTGGAACAGCAACTCGAAGATCATCGTAGGATGGAGCAGGAGAGGTTTGAGGTAGGTTCTTCTGTACAGACAGTTCCTTCTGGTGTGTTATCTTGTACGTGGTGACATGTCAGTTTGCAAATATAAGTATGAAAAAAATACTAATGAATTTTTTTTTCTCCCTGGTCTGTCTGAGGATTGTTCTTGTAATTCTTTTGTTTTGCTGGCAGGATAGCCTGGAGTCCAGGGTTGCCAAGTCTTTGCTGTTGTGTTACCATCAGAGTGTGGTCAATTAGGAGCACAGACAGGGCTGACATGTGGCCTGTGCACTTGTACAGGGCTGTGCTTGGAGGGGCCTGTGCCTGCTTTTTGTGCTCTGCTGTTGCCGTCTTGAAATTCATAACAATTTTTAAGTGCATTTTACTTTGCACTGATCCCCACAAATTATGTAGCTGATCTTGAGTATAGATCTGAAAACTTGCTTGGACAGTTCACGTAGAGATTTCCAAAACCCTGGTTAATTGAATCACCCAAACTAGCTCATTGGAGATTATCGAGGAATGGCAGTTTATTGATTGATTGTGGGAAATACATGTGACCTAGAACCTGACCATGTCTTACAGGTTCTTCTCATCCCAGGGGTAAGGCTGTTTAGGAAAGAGTATGTCAAATCCCAGCATGAGTTGATAAATGTCAAATTCAGAACAAAGGAAATCGGACCAAGTTGCTAGCACATTTTGAATTACTGTTACCCTGAGAACAGTCATTTAGAATTGATGTTCATGGTGAAATTGGTCTACAATCTCCCTTTCTGACCTTGACAACTTTGGGTACTAAGTTTATCTTGCCTTCTTACAAACCTGGGTGTTTGAATTAGATAAGGCTATTTTGTTGTCTGGGCGGGCTGACTGGAGTAACCTTCGCAACTGTATGGACATATGTCATATTGCCGAGTACCTCGCACAGTATTGCTGTGTTGCAGAGAGGCAAGCCAGGGAAAATAGGACAGGCACATTTTGAGGACAGTTTAAAGAGGGTGGAGTTAAGGACATTTTCAACATTGGGTACCTGGGAAAGAACAAGAAAGGGCCAGTGGAAATAAACTTTGACCATTTTGTAGCATTGTCTGGGGCCATCCTTGGGTTTAGAGAACATATCAAAGAATATGCCTCAGAATGGCAAGTTGGTGGCCCAAGTTACTTTTGAGGATGCCCCTTTATCCCACCCTTCCTTCTACAAGTATTTCCCCTCTTTTTCTCCTACACTGACTCTTGCCATCTCTGCTTATAATACTTGCTTCAAAATGTCCCATGCCTGAAATGATTCTTTCTTTGTAATGTTCAGAATAATAATAAAACTGTAAAAACCAGTTTCCTCCTCCATTTTCTGTCTTGACAATAATCAGAGCCACATTTTATAACATAACTGCGTAATTATCTCCTCTTTGCCCCACCCCAGGAATTAAGACTAGTATTTCTTTCTTTCTCTTCCCATCCTGACCTGTCCCACCATTCAGCACCTTTCAAGAGTGGCTTTGTGAAGGCAGTGCAGGGCAGAAGAATGCTGAAATCTGGGCTTGCTTCTTGTGAGCACAGGAGGCCTGTGCCTGTCCCCTAGTTAGGTGCATCTGTTCCCGTGTCCACAGCCCACACAGACACACACAGTGGGCATCTGGTTGTGTTGTTCAGTTTCCTTCAGAGGCAGTGCTGTGTGGTTGGAGAGCATGATGTGGAGGCCAGCTGCTCCACTTCCTGGAGCCCCCTTCCACAGAGGTGCTGGGTGACCACAGAGAAAGGAATGGCGCCAAGGTTTGGGAACAGGTTGCTCAGGCAATGTTAGGTCCTTCCACTTCCTGTAGTTTAGACCATTTCTTGTTCTGTATCATAAACACAACAGTACTTACACAATGACAAAGAAGATTAGAATGGTCTAAGAAAGGGCTGTCTCTCCTGAATCTTGTTTTTCATCCTACACAGGAAGCTGAAAATACTCTCCGTCTGATGCAGAACAAGCTAAAGGAAGAAGAAAAGCGACTGCTCAAGAGTGGAAGTAAGGTCCTACTTTTTACATAGAGATACTTGCTCTGGACTCGCATTTGCAGCTTTCAAAAATTTATGTATATACTTTTTTTTTTTCCTTTTTGTCTTTTTTCGTGATCGGTAACAGGATCGCAACCCTCGGTGTCGCGCCCGCACCGCGCTCAACCAGTGAGCGGACCGGTCTCTATATGGGATCCGAACCCTCGGCGGGAGCGCCACCGCGCTCCCAAGCGCCACACTCTACCGAGTGCGCCACCAGGCCGGCCCTATGTATATACTTTTTAATATTATTTTCTTTTTTAAAAATTTCCCTTTCAGTATTATTTTTTTATTGTGGTAAGAGTACTCAATGTGAGATCTACCCTCTTAACAAATTTTTATTTATTTATTTATTTATTAATTTTTATTTTTTTGTCTTTTTCGTGACTGGTAAGGGGATCACAACCCTTGGTGTGGGGTCGCCCACACCGCGCTCAGCCAGTGAGCGCACCGGCCAGTCCTATATAGGATCCGAACCCGCAGCGGGAGCGTCGCTGCGCTCCCAGCTCCGCACTCTCCCGAGTGCTCCACGGGGCCGGCCCTTAACAAATTTTTAAATGTATAATACATTATTGATGACTATAGGTACAAAAATATTTCCAAAAGGCAATTTTCTGACAACTTTTATATTAAGTACTATTTGAATTCACTCAAGAGATTGATTTAAGTTACATAGGATTTAAGGCACATTTGGTCCTTGTGCCAATTAAAATAGTGTTTTCCCGTATTTAAATGGACAGTTTGATTAAATAATATATAACTGTAAAAGAAAACTTGGTCCTAGAGGTGTGTGGTTCCGTATTTTAGGGTGAACTGATGGGAAGCCAGCATCGGGATGGAGGACAAGTGAAGGGGCTACCTGTTTACTGATAGTCCCCAGCACACACCCATGGGGTGTCCTCCTGTAATCCAAGATTACCCAGCCAGGCTCTCACCTGTAGAGAAATGGGGTTACCTACAGATAGGTGCTAGATTCCAGGCAGGAATGCTCTACATGACTGGTTAGCACTCTTCATCTGTGAACTTCACCAAGGTGTCACGTGAGTGTCAGGAGCAGTAGCAGCACGTGGACTGCTAGACTGCCGGCCTTGTGGCAGAGAGATACTTCTCTTTCTGCTGATGCTCTTCCTTCATGGTGGAATGTTTTATTCTCTCTCATGTTGAGGATAGTATACCTAGGGCATCAGGCTCGTGCTCGCTCGTGCTCTTGTGTGCTCTCTCTCTGCCTTTTCCCTTTGTCTCTCCTTTTGTACCTGTTCTGTGATGCTCTTTTCTGAATCTCAGGAAACTGGAAGGAGAATAGGGGCTGTTGGGAAATCCTCTAGGGACAAGTTCAGGAAATTCGAAGGTCCTCTCTAGCCAAAGTTGCCCTTGCTGTTTTAGTTCCACATCACACAGGGGAGTGGTTTTAAGTAGTCATCCCTAAGTGGTAAGCCTGCAAGGGGTTTATCCACTCTCAAGAGGCCCGGCTTGGTGGGTGGCATCCCATTCTGCTCTGGGCCAGGATATCAAAACCTTTCATGCTGATCTTGCTGCATTCTTCTGAACTGGGCTTTCATTTGGTGATGCATAGGTCTGGGATCTCCTGAAGGACAAAGATTCTTGTGAGCACATGTTATTTAGTTTTTTTGGAAAAATAATTTCCAGTTTAAACTGACTTAATGAAGGGTAGAAGTTAGAAAACTATTTATGAAGAACCATTTTCAGTTCTATTCACTGTAAAGTTCTTAAGACACCTGTCTTTCTTTGCTTCCCCACAAATGTGGAAGCATTGCCCAGGTATTGGGATCAGGGAGGAGACATAAAAGAGACTTTCTGAATTCTTCTCCATCTGGGAAAGACTTCTCTAAACACAAGAACATAGTAGTACACAGACATGAATCAAGGGCAACGATGAGCAAAAGGCAAAAGCTGGCAGAGATCACCTGTTCAGTCTGCTCTGCAGGCAGCAGACTCAATCCAGCAAAGTGTTATTATCTGTTCTGGGTGCTAAGGATATGTCAGTGGACAAGACAGAGGTCCCTGCCTCAGCCAGCTTTGCGTTCTAGTGACGAGACAACAGTAAGCAATAAGCAAGCTGTATATGTGTTGGAAGGGGAAGAATGCTCTGGGGGGTAGTGAAGCAGGTACAGGGGTTGGGGAAGTGTGATAGAGTTGCAGTTTTAAATAGGTCAGATAGGCCTCATCAAGGAGATGCTATTTGAGCAAAGACTAAGTCAGTAGATCCGGGGAGAAAGGAGACACCAGATGATGACAGGCCCTGAAAAGCTGGGAGCCCAGGTGAGGGGATGAGCTCCGCTGAGTGAGAGTATGTGTGAACAGGCGGGATGTGAGTTGGGCAGGTCAGGGGGGCCAAGGTGGGCCATGTGCTCTCAGCACTCCATCCAATGGACACTGTCTTCTCTACTAAGTAGGAGTGAGCTCATTTAGGATTTGGTGATGGGTTCGTTTGGAGTAAGGTATTTGAGAAAGAGAGAGAGTTGGAGCCACTGTGGGGAACAGAAGATAGAGGTGGTTAGAGATGGGAGCGTGCCACAGGGGGTACAGGGACTAAAAAGGCCAGCTCTGTGTTCAGATGCCTTATAATAAAAGTCTTCACCTTCCCACCATCCTTCTAAACCTCATTGCTGGTCGTAAATTTGTAACTGTACCCTCTGGAGGATTCAGCACTGTGGCACTAGGAACTTCTTAAAGAAGTCCTCTGATTTCATGAAGTGACCCAGACGTTCCTAGAAAGCACTTGAGTAACCTGGCTGTGACTCATTCATTTGGAGTAGAGAACAGATGTGCATATGCTTATCACATATTTACTGCATGCCTGCTGTGTGTCAGGTGTGTTAGTACCCGGGACACAGTGATGGATGGGGCACAATTCCTGTGCCCAGGGAGCTTTTCTAGAACTGCACATCCAGTACCAAGCCACGAGCCATGAGCAGCTCCTGAGCACTTAAAATGTGCCACGTCCAAATTGAGCTGTCCCGTGAGTGGAGCATACACACCTGATTGAAGACTTGGTGTAAAAAAAAAAGTAAAATATTTTATTAATAATTTTTATATTGGTTACCTTTTGAAATAATGTTTTATTTAACCAAATATATCTAAAATACCAAGATTAACTCACCTGTTACTTTTTACTTTTCTTTAATGTGGTTACCAGAAAATTTTAAGTTATATCTGTGGCTTGCATCATGTTTTTATTGGACAGTGGTGACCTAAAAGAAGAAACTTACAAGGAAACTTCCTACAATTTAAGTGGGTGTTAAGTGGTATCTCATTGTGGTTTTTTTGTTTTGTTTTGTTTTGTTTTGTTTTTTGTCCTTTTTGAGACCGGCCACACCGTGCTCAGCCAGTGAGTGCTGTGAGCGCACCGGTCATCCCTATATAGGATCCGAACCCGTGGCGGGAGCGCTGCTGCGCTCCCAGCGCTGCACTCTCTCGAGTGCGCCACGGGCTCGGCCCTCATTGTGGTTTTGATTTGTATTTCTCTGACAGCAAAAGAAGTTGAGTATGTTTTCATGTACTTGTTGGCCATTTGTATATCTTTTTTGGAGAGATATCTATTCAAATCCTTTGCCCATATTTATTTATTTATTTATTTATTTATTTTTTTATTTTGTCAATATACAATGTAGTTAGTTTTTGTGTCCCATCACCGAAACCTCCCTCCCTCCTCCCTCTCCCCCCTCCCACCCAGGTGTGT